GATCACACTGATAATTGTATTTCATAACTGTCAGTTGGGCGAAGGCTGCCAGTGTGCCCAGGAGCTATTTGTGTCTCAGTATGTCCTCCACAAACCTTCCTCCCTCCCCCTCCCCTCCCCCCCTCCCCCAACTTTGTCCAACCCTCCCCAATCACTAGGGATGTGCTTACTGTCTCCGGCCCCGAATTACTCAATCAGGAGGACACGTTTATGGATGACACCTTTATTACAATTAATCAGGGGAACTTGATTAAGAAAGTTATTCCTCCCCTTCATTGAGACTTACACAAGTGGCGCTGCTGCATATTGAAATTTATGTCCCACTGAGCTCTGACAGACAGAGAGAGGCCGACAGATTGCCAGCCATACTGAGACACATGTGGATGCTGGCGTGCGTCTGGATCTGCGAGGGGTTGGGCGCGTGTGCGTGCAACCTGTCCGCACTTCTGCACACGCACAGCCCCAAACTCACACGCGCGCGGATCGCTTCTGGTTTCACAAACAGTTTAATAAACACGTTAATTGGCTGTAGAGATGTCCTTTCCACAGCGCATATCTACATCTCTATTGAATATTCTGATTCCTTTCTTCTTGTCTTTTTTTTCCCTCCCCACTCCCTTTCCTTGCACACACACACACACACACACGAGCGCGCACGCACGTGTGCACATCGCTGAATGAAGCCATCTCTTTACCTTTACTCACAGTTCCTGGGTCTGCTGTGGCTAATTAGCTGAGTGGGGTTTTAGGTTTGGTAATTAGGCGGAGGTAGAAGTGATGGGGGCTCGGGGAGTTTGGGAGTTGAAGGGGTCTGACTGACTTCCAGTGAAAGGAACTGGACTGTCTGGATGTTGGCAGCACCAAGCAGTAAGCCAGCGTCCCCGAGGTGCCTGGAGGTAGACTACCATGCCACACTTAAGAGGATGATGTCTTTGCTGGGTGACACATATTAGAACAAGGGGAAACTGAAAAAAGGGTGAAACGAGGAAAAACCTTTGAGCATTTCACTACCCCAAGTGTCAGCTTGGAGCCATGAAAAAAGGAAGAAAAATCAACACAATGCTGTTGTTGGCGATGGATAAATGGAGAGCCACAGAAATACTGAAACTAGTGAGCTGGTCAGCCTTAATGGTAGCTGGTTATTAATATTTTCAATATGAAGATAGTGTCAATTTTATATGGGTAGTAGAATCTGATGCTGTAACAATGAAATAAACGCAACAATTTTAGAAGTCAAACAACAACATCCATATTGGTTAGGCTCTGGTAGTTGTATGGCCTACCACTGGTCACTCACCCATTAAGCTGAAGCGGTCAGCACTCAGTTAGGACGTCGAAATTAAAAGAAATAGACGTCTTTCCAAACAGGTAATCAAATGTGGAAAAAGTCTGTAATTCCTACATGGATAACAACACATTCAATCATTTTCTTACCATCAGGCAATCGTTTGACCGCACTAATTCCAATGTGTGTAATATATGGAAGTCATCTGTGTTTGCATTTCACTGCAAATTTAGTTGAGCCCCCATTACCCCCGTATGCATATAATTATTTTAATTAGACAAATCTTAATCGTTTTGAGAAGCAACACTGAAGTACCTTCTAAGCAAAACAAAAAAAAACCCATCATAATTTCTTTCATGTTGATATTGTTTTCCCCGGCATGAGTGTCACACCCATGTTTCCATCTCCAAAAAAGCTTCTCTATCTTTGCTGTCTTTTTTTGTCTTTAATGTTTTACACACCCTCCCCACAATGCCAGTGAGCGGTCGCGAGGACTGCAACACAATCCAATTAAATAAAGAGTGTTGTCTCTTCAGGATCCTGTGTTCTCTAATTGGGGCTGTGACTGCTCACTAATCAGCGCAGGTATAGGTAGGCCCCAGAGGACGCCCCGATGAGGCCTCTCCTGTTAATTGAAGGGATGCTAAAGCTGGCGTCCTCGGCGCGGTCCGCGGCAAACGCTCCGGCACAAATTCATCCAAACATCCGCGCACATCATCACCTCTGTCGTCCTTTTGTGCGGACGGCATGTATGAGCTTGCTTCTGCTTTCTAACACCTGAACAAACAGTGGCGGTTCAGAGGTGGTTGTCGTGGTTAGTTTAAACCCAAGGCTTTTTTTCTGCCTCACACTACAGTCTAAAGACGAAGCTCAAGTCTGTATTCTTTCCCGATCTCCAGGCCGTTGGACTGCGTTAGGCAGTTTTCTTCTTCTTTCTAAAATGCCAACGTTGTCTTGCTTCTCTTTATATCATTAGCACGCGTCGCCCTCTGAACTCTGACACTGACATCTGTGCCAGAGCAAACAAAGGCAAGTACAAACCAAAGCAACACTCAGGGGAGGGACTGTAGAATTAGCTTAGACGCTGGCTGCAAAATGTGGCACTGCTCCACTTAAATATTCAATAATCGCTTTCTTTTCAAGTTTCAAAACAACACAACACGATGCCTTCCGCCTAAAGTGCTCTGTACAGGAAAGCAAGGTTACACTGATAAGAGGCTCTCTATCACGAATGTGGCAAGATGTTTCAAATACTGACAAGACTCAATTGTTCATATTATTTCTGGACATAGAGCGATTAAGTAAAAGCTGATGGAACGATACTAAGCAGGCTGAGTCAACTGCAAACACGGTGTCAGATGATTATTTCAAACGGATACACTAAACGAGAGGCTCGCAAGAGCACCCACATATGCGAGTGACCACCGCCTCCTCATCCACTTTAGCCTTCCTCCGCCAACCACTGAAAACGGCCCGGGCTTTTTACTGGTTTCCTGCGCCGGCTGCTGAAGGTAGCAGCTTTGCATGCTGGGGTCACACCTGTAACATATTTCACACTGGGTTATATTTCGAGTAGCCACCTGGATGAGGAAATAACATGTTCACAGTGCATGAGGACGACGGCCCTCCCTGCCAGGCAGGAACAGGTGTTTGTTTTAGATGACATACAATACATTATCACACCACAGACTGCCTCAGTTCTTCCTTTTGGGAAGTAAAGTGACTATATTTTGCTCGGGTTAAAAAAAACAACAAACAGACCAGAATGCTTTTATGACAAATTATTTGTGAAATTGGCAATCGTGTCATTTTATACAAATGTTATGCGTACAAACATATGTAACGGTGCAAGGTTTTGCTCTTTGCTCGACAAAAAAACCCCACTAAACCAAGAAAAAAAAAGCAGAGTGGGAAATGTGTCAAAGGGCATTTTCTAAAACATTCACTACAAGTGTTTGGTGTTTTTGTTGTTGTTTTTTTAAGGCGCTGTGGGAGAAAATAATGATATTTTGCAGTCCAACTCCTGGTTAGCTGGACTAATTTTTTTTTTTATTACGTGCAGCTTCGGGGCATGTGAATGAAAAGATTGATTGTGCAAATGCTGTTTCTGTCAGCCACAAACAGGCAATGAAATGCCAAGCACACCTGGAGCCGCACTCACTTTTGACAAGCTCATACCAACATAAGCGGCCATTAGAAAAACAATGAAGTCTATCATAAAACATTTATGGTAGATAAAGTGCTTGAGAGGGCTAACGGTGCACACACAGTGTGCTAGCTGGTTTAAAGTCATTAAGGGCCGGACTTCCAACACTGTGCGTGTGCAAAAATTATTAACAGAGCTTGTGAAGAAAATATGTTTATATTTGAAATGTCGGGCTTCTATTTGGGGTTATGAGATCATTTTCAAATACTCATGCAGACTTTGCTGCTCGGTTTCCAGTTATGTTAACAGTCAATCAGTCTTTATTACAGTTTCAAAAATATAATGGCAATATAATGGCAAAAATCTGAGTTTGATTCCTACATTTCTTTGTCTTTAATCGATCATTTGGTTAGTCTATCAGTTGAAGCTAGGTATGATTCCTTTACTGCATCAGTTACAATCACAGCTTGCTGCCGCTAACAGATGGTGGGTTCACTTCCACTACAACTTTGCCAAGGTTTTTCCCAGCGTACATGTAGTCTACGGCCCGGAAAACCGACTCCAGGCCTACGAACCTCCCCTCGGGCGCCATCTCCCCACAGTCCACCTCGCACACCAGCTTCCCCGCCGCCAACATCTGCATCATGCTGCCCAGGGCCTCCCTGTAGTCGGCCAGGAAGTGAGGCAGGAAGAAGCCGCGCATGCTGGCCGACTTCTGGAGCAGTTTGACCGGAAGCGTTCCGCCCTGGAACGGCAGGATCCCCGATGGGGTCTGGTATCCCGAGATGAAGCCGATCACGATCAGCCGGCCCTTGTTGGCCAAGCTGTTGACGGCCAGCTCCAGGACCCTGCCGCCAACCGACTCGTACACCACGTCCACGCCTTTGGGGTACTCTTTCCTCAGCGTCTTGGCCAGATCCTCCATGGCGTAGTTGACCGGTCGGTCGCAGCCGATGGACTTGAGGAAGCCGGCCTTTTCGTCGGAGGAGCAGGTCCCGATGACGTGGCAGCCGGCCTGTTTGGCGAACTGCACTGCGAACTGCCCGGTGCCCCCCGCGGCCGCCGTGACCAGGACCGTCTCCCCTTTGGCCAGGTCGCCCAGGCGCTTCAGGGCGATGTAGGCCGTGGCGCCGCTGACCAGCAGGGTGAGGAACTCCGGCCGCACCGAGGGGACGGGCACGCTTTCTTTTGCCGGCACCACGGTGTACTCGGCAAACGCCCCGCTGCCGAAGTAGGCCACCGTGTCCCCGACCGCGTGGCGGGCGCTGGCGCTCAGACCCAGGCCCACCACCTCGCCGATCCCCTCGAAACCCGCGTCGAAGGGAGGCCTCACCGAGGGGTCGTAGCGGCCGGCCGAGTAATTAATGTCCGAGGCGTTGATTCCCACAAAACTGGAATACAGAGCAGACAGGAACCGACGGTTAGAGCGTGACGGGGTAGAACTTAAGCTGAATCATTAACAGTTACTTCGGTGCGGAGGGAGCTGGGCAGCGGTCAGACATTCCCAGAAAACCCCAGCGTGAAGGCCAAGACGCCTGTTGACCGGCTCTGGCCCTGGCCGGCGGGGATAGGCTCGCTGCACAACGCGCCTCGCGTGATGTCACCGTTCGCCGTCTTTTGGAATGGCACCCAGAGCAAACTGCACTTTTAAAAATCTTAAATAGTTGCTTCTTGCCTCAACACGAAGGCGGCTGTTTTCATCTCGCCTTTGTAACGCGCTGGAAACAAATCTGCGAGAGAGGAATGTATAAATAAATCATTTACTGTCTTTTAGAGCAGCGCGCATGCTGAGCCTCATTACTGTGCATGTCACACGTGTACTTTGAGCTTGTAGATAATGCTCCTGTGGTTTATAGATGGGTAACGATGATACAACAAAACACCTTGATTTGACTTCTTTACATCTGCGGATCAGTTCGCTCGCAGAAACACACGACGCCGGTATCAAAAAGGTACAATTATTTAGATGTAAAGACCAAAAAAACTCAGCCTTTAGAGATGAAAGTTAAAAAAAAGAAGAAAAAAAAGAATGCCGTTTGTGGTAACAAAGTCAATGTGCAAAATTTGAAACCACTGAAAAACGTTTAAAGCTGATTAGGAAGATGATGAAGTCCATTTTTTGTGGAAAAAACCAACACGATCAAAACAATACTATATTAAAAGACAATATTTCAATATGTTTTGCTTTAATATAGCTACGTCAAATGGACAATCAATGTCCACTCAGACATTTTTCTATGAATGATAAATATAAATAAAGAAGAGGGTTTTGTGATCCTGTTACATCTAACAATCTGATTGGCTATAAGTTTCCACGCCGGCTGAATGTGTGTGTGTGTGTGTGTGTGTGTGTGTATATATATATATATGACACCTACAAATTGGGAGACTTGCCACTAAGACACTTCTAATATATTAAAAAAATCTGCCGCAATGATGTCATCAGTCGATATCTAAGTTGAAAAAAAAGAAAAACAGGACTTTGAACTGTCCTGTAAAATGTAACTGCTCATTTGGCTGCAAATGAAATCTGTTCAAACAGAAAGGGCTCTCTTTTGAGATGGTCTTTTAGTTTAGAACACTTCATGCGAGCGGTGCTCTAAAACAAACAAAGGGGATCTGGGTTTTGTGAACCACTTCCACTGACATGCTGGCTATCTGGCTCTGTCCTCTCTCAGACCGGCTCCCTGCCCTCACGGCCGGTCAGCATCCCCACTGCAGGTGACCGGCCGGTCAAAGGTCCCGGCTCCCGAGCGGCCGATCGCCGCCTTAAGGTCCTTGATGTAGTGTGTTTTTTACACTCTGTCTAATGGGAAAACTGGTGGTAAATGCAACAGTAAATAGTGGCGAGTCTTTGTGTGAGGCGGATTAAACCTGGAAGAAGCACAGCAGGCGTGCCTTCAGCAGCCATGTGGCAGCAAATCTAAAGCAGAGGGAGATGTGCCTCCTGGCTGCCTCTGGAATAAAGCAGACGCGTGAAAGCTGCAGATTATTCTAAAATGCACGCGTGCTTTCGTTTCCCCATCATTCAAGACACCAAAAAGGTGTGTGTGTGTGTGTGTGCGTGTGTGTGTGAGCCGCGGTGCCGCAGTTCCAGCGCCATGTAACGCCGCATCTCCATCATCTCCATCATCTCCATCTCCTGATGCCAGTTCGAGCCCCCCCACGACTTTTCTCTTCGCAGGTTGGTGACGTAGAGAGACAGGAGGACAGAGGGAGAGAGGGAGAGAGGGAGCGCGAGAGAGCGAGAGGAGGGGGGTGGGTGGTGGTGGGGTGGGGGGGGGAGGAAAGAGAGGGAGAGAGATGGATTGATAGACAAACGCGGGGAGGGCGGAACTTGGAGTAACAGGACAGCGTTTATTCCTCCCGTGTTTTTTTTTGGCCATCTCGTGATGATGAGGATGATGATGATGGTCGCAGGTGCCGGACGCGGCTGAGTCGAGGTAAGCGGAGCCCCTTTCTCTAACTTCTTGACAAAAATAGTGGTAGATCGACCCCCCCAAAAAAACGGACGCGCTCGGGGGGTCATCCGCGGCTCTGCACAACCCTTTTGTTTTGTTTTTGTTTTTTTTTGTTTTTTTTAAATCTCCGAACGGCCACTTACCGGTTTCGGACCAGCAGCTCCGCGTCCCCGGGCGTGGGGACGGCGGCAGCCTGCAGGGACACGGCCTCCCGGAAGCTGGGGCTGAGCCGGGTGACGACCAGCTTCTGCATGCCGCTCGGTATGGAGGATCCCTGGAAATCCATGAAGTGCGCGGAGTAGGACATGTCTATGATGGAGCGGCTGCTCACCGCGTGAACTCCGGAAAGTGTGCCGGTGCCCGCTGTCCGAACTCTCCTCAGGGTCAGTAACGGCAGCAGCAGCCGGGGGCAGGACATGGCTCCGATCGGTGGCAAAGTTCAACCTGACGCGCGTAATAAAACCCCGACGGCCATTAGCCTGCGCTAATGTTCTGTTTTTTTTAAAAAAAACAGAACGTTGGGTAACAACGCTGGACCGAACCGAACCGAAAACCTCCGTTTGGCTGGAGCGCAGCTCGGACAGGATCGGGGTTTGTGGGTTTTTTTTTTTTTTTGGCGTTAGCGCGCGGCGGTGCCGCAGTTTGGTAGGACTAAGACGAGCGGCTCAGACTGGTCCCGGAGTCCCTCCCCTTCCCGGACACCACGCTCACTTCCTAGTAAGGTGAAACAAATCAATCCTCGTCTCCCAA